ATAATATTAATAATATAAAATAGATATATTTTATATAGCTTTAATAAGAAATTATTTCGTTTAGTAAATTATAAATTAATAATTAATGTCGAATGTTTGATAACTGTATAAATTGACTGTATTCTCTAAAAATATAATTCATGTTTCAATACGTATTAGTATTATACAAGTAAGTAATATTATATAAGTACACACAATACCAGCAATACAGAATTTTAATGATATTAATATGTTCTAAAGATTACTAAACTTTTTCGTAATATTATGAAATCAATGTTTATTTTAATTAAATAAAAGTTTAATGTAATAAAACAATGTATTTATAAAATAAAATTACATTTACTTTTGAGGCATACTAACAGGAACGACATACAGAATTTTCTATTTGCGCAAGAAATATATTATATATGAAATATCATATAAAAAATTTTCTTACACAGAAAATCTTCTATTATGTATATAAATTCAATATAAATAATATTATTGTATAAATTAAATTATACTACTAACTAAAGTATAATTAGATGTATATATTATATTATTATATAATTATATTTATGCTAGAGTATGACTACTTAGTGCATTAATGCTTATCATGAAACATTTACATATATTATTTTCCAAACAATTCATGGATAAGTAGTAAAAAATAAAATAATTCTTTTAGACTTTAATTTGTTCTTATTTAATAAAATTTATATATCATAACGCATAATATATATATATATATATATATATGCACATAACTAAATGTCTATAAAATAAATTTGAAGTTCAAGTATTAATAAATATCATATTCTTGAATGAAATAAATAATTAATCCAATTAATTTGGAGAACAATCAAGTAAGCATCCCATGATTCTTTTTAAAACAATTTTTACAAAGAACAAGTAAATTTGTGCTTTTAATGAGATATATCGTTAAATTTATCAAAAAGTTAATCATTTCATATATAATTACGTATTTGATGTTTACATATGGATAACGACATACATTTATTCTACACATTTTACTTTTAGTCAGTAACATAATTTCTCTTAACTATCATATATAATGAATTGTTCAGTACAGCATCCAATATTGCGTAAAAGATAAAGAGCATATGCTTGATTAAACAACATTTTAAAATTATAATACTAAAAGAAACGTACCACGTGATCTCAAAAAATATTTCCATTACTGTGTGTGTACACATAACACGATGCCGTTCTCTTTTACGCAACAGTAACGTCAATATAAATATACATGGCTACTTTCCTATTACACACGTACAAATAAGTGATATTTTTAATTTCTTACTGTTATATTACTGTTTTGTATTCATAATTCAAGCATTTGAGTAAAATATTGATAATTACAAATATTTTTATAGTTTATGGTGAGAAGTTTTATTAAAAAATATTCATTACTTTTTTTTATACAAAATTATTCAAAGAAACATCTCCATAAACTGTATTACAATATGTGAATTAAAAAATATTCATATTAATAAAAATCATTCAAACATGTCATTTTATTTTAAATTATTTTACAAAAATAAGCAATCATGAATCTATTTTCATATTTACTATTCTACAAGTTAAACAGGAATATAGTGGTATTATATAATAAATGGAATAAATTGAGATTTTTTATTGAAATATTTTTGTTAAATTTTCATAACATATTAAGACAAAGAATTATTTTGCAGAATTTATAATGAATAAAACATTATTCTTCACAAAGGAAGTTGATAGTTATATTTAAAAATTTTCATTATTTCATTGTGTACCTAGTAAATTGTATATAATAAAGTATAAAAATAATTTTTTTCATGAAAATTTAATGTTTTGTGTTTTAATAAATAATTTTCAAAATTTATATATTTACTTGGCTGAATTATTTACTTTTATTATCCCCTTTTTCTGATCCTATTGATGTGATGATTGATGAATTATTTTATTAAAAAACAAAAAAAAATATACTGAATTAAAAAGTAAAACCTAATTCATATTTTGGTTAATGTTAATTCATTATATTTTGATTTTGTATTTTATTAATTTAATTTTCAGAACTATTGTTAGATAAATAAAAATTGAATTTTTATTTATATTATTTATGTTAATTGCTTTATTAATTATTTATTATTTACGTTCATTGCTTTTTAATATCAATTCTTCAAAATATATATACTGTTAATATTATTTGTAAGTGCTTTTTATACATTCATTATAATTTGAAAAAATTTTTTTCAGAGTAATTAATGTATCTATAGTAATTTTCATATTGAAATAAATTTAAAAGATCTTGTAATAATATTAAATTATTTTAATAAAATAATATTATACTACGAAGACAAATTTATTTCTAATTATATTATTTCGTTCCTTGCATCATTCCGCACGAAATGTTTTTTTATATAACCATAGAAATTATTTAGGTCACAGAGGGGCAGTTTTCTATTTCCTTTTCCTTAGGTATAAAAATTAGAAGATGTTGATTTTGTATTGATCTGTCGCAAACCGGATTTTTCTAGTTTTCTTTATACTTTCCTGCGCATCCAAATTTCTTTCTTTTGCTATCCCTCTCTTGTTCTCCCTTATCCCCTGTTTAGACCCATGCTGTTTCCAAAGCATATAGTAGAATGATTAGGAAGGGATATTTCAGTATCAATAGCATTTATAGATATTCACGTATTTTACCATTTTATATATATTATATTTTAATTTATTATAGATATTTATGTACATACAATTTTTGTAGTATTAATTAAAAAAAAAAATTTAATGTTTAAGTGTAATAATAAAAAAACATTACATATGAATTTGAAAAGAATTTTATGAATTATAAAGTGGATGGTTGCATTTTGAATAATATTATATAAAAGAATTGATATACAATAATATACGTTTTAAAATAAACTATAATAAATGCATATTTCTAGTTATATATATATAGACGTTAAAATAAATTAAATTTTTTTTCTCAGAATAAAGACTATTAAAATGCTTATATATAATAATTTTTTTATTATATTATGCATTGACAACTGTATTACATATAAGCATTTTAATATTCTTTATTCTGGGAAAACAGAATTTAAGATTATGAAAAGTAATTTATATTATTTCCTGAAATACATTTTATCTATATTTTAATGATGTATTTGATATTAAATAGACTAAAATATATAACTAATTAATATTTACCGATACTAGTTCTAAAAAGATAAATTTTATTTTTGAAATATAATTAATTAATTATGAAATTTTTGTTGGTATGTGAGTTATTATTCAAATAAATGTAATAAATTAAAATACTTTATTCTAAGTAAATAATTTTGAATATATTAATTATTATTCCCGATTCAATACATATTTCTAACTTTTAATAGGTAAGTAGCTTCATTTATTTAACTTTAATTAAATTCAAATTATTTTGAACACAAATACTTATAGTATAGTAAATTTGTTAAATTAAAAAATTAAATATCTGAATTCTAAATATATAAACCTAATTTTTTTATATTTAAATGTTTTGAATAAACTTTATATTACGTAACTCGCAATTGAATGATTAATCTAATGAAATGGTGAAAATTTGAAAATCTTAGTTTAAATTTAATTTTTGGAAGGAATTTGACTGGATAATATTGGATATCTTAAAATTTTTTAAAAAATAATTATGTGCTAAAATATTTAGCAATTAAAACAAAATTACGAGTTGTCAAGAATATTTAATAGCTACAGTAAATGAAACAGAAAGAAAGACATATTTAATATTATTGATAATAAAATTAATTGGTAATTTAAGTTACTTGGACCATTTGAAAGTATTTCCGGTTTAATTTTAAAAATTATTTTCCACGTAAAGTTATTATATTTTAAATAATAATTGGTGTAAATTATATGTGCAGTGGCATTTTTTCCTAAAAATCAAGAATACTTAATTAATAATTTCCTTGAAGTGTTATTAAATAGTAATATTAATGAAAAATACAATTAAAATTATGTTTTATTAGTATTAAATTAGTTGATGCCACAATTTTACAATTATATACTTAATTTAACTAAGAACTTTACAAAAATATAACAATATTTAAAAAAATTAGATTTAAAATAATATTTCTATAAGCATCTTAATATTCTTTTAATAATAACTTTCTTAATATTATAATATAGATAATAGTTGCGGATAAAAATAGCGTTCTCCCGTATTTATAAATATTACATAATTAATTTTATAGACCATTGACTTTCAGTAGATGAAAGCAAACCCTTTTTCGTAATTCTAATGAATTGGGCCTCGCGCCTTTAACACACATTGAGATCCCAAAGTGCAACCTCAGCAAGATAAAAGTAATCTCTTGTTGCCAAGAGATAGTAAAATAAAACGAGCCGATTAACGATGTTCTTGTAACATTTAATAAAAGAACTAAATACGAGGACATTATTATGAGCTTGTGAAAAAAATTCTTAAGTCAGAAGTTGCAATCGCAGCCGAGATGTAATTATCGACTGCATGGGTATTCATGCAACTTTATTTGTTTGGAACTTTTTGTTTCAAACGTTTAAGAAAACCAATATATCTATCTTTATAACTGAATACATGTAATAGATATGCATAATTAAAAGGACGCGCAGAATATCAGATATGATCTATCATTTACTATTGAATTTAACGATTAATAAGCCACCCCTTATCAAAGTTTAGATCATAATCAAAAGGGGAGAGTTTGTATTCAGAGTCACGAGTGCAAGTCCCCTTCATTCGAAATGTAAGCAAAAGGTTGTTGATTGCTTGAATAAATCCATCTCATTAGTAGGGAAACTTCTGACTCGTGGAAGTGCGGAAATTTGGGAAGCCATGCTGGATGTGAAATGCACGAAATCTTCGGTATACTGCGATAATAAAATGTAAAGTAATAGCCGTGTTGTGGCTTTGGAGAAATTACATAACTCGCCAACAGTCGTCGAACGAGCTGTTATAAGCACCGATTTTTGCTTCGTGCAACACTTACCCCATCGCTTTTTGGTGTGCCCAAAAATCGTACCCTCGGTGGGGTTGTAGATTGCATCCTTGATTATCTGCCACTTGGTCCTGGTGTCGGCCCGGGGCATGTAGATATCCCCGGGCTCGAGGGGCCCCTCCCTGGGCCCGACGCCCATTCTCGAGCCGCGGCCACCCCGCACTGGAGTCGCGCCGCGGCGCAGCTACACACGCACGAACGCACGCACGCACGCACGCACGCACGCACGCACTTAGCCGAAGCGAGTTAGACGTGGACGTCGTGGATGCTTGGCGCGCACTATTTTCGCGGGCGCCGTCGGAGTCTTGGAATGGAGCAGCGCAGGCGCGCCTCGACCGGACCCGAGGAGGCGTGACGAGATGCGCGCGCCGCAACTTCGGTCCAGCCTCTGCTGGGCGACATCGACGCCGCTCTTTGTCCTATTCTCCCTTTATTTAATCAGCAGCAGATTTTTGGATCGACGTATGGTTATTTATTTTTCATAAATAACTGCCGATATTTCATTTTCTCATCGAAAATTTAAAATTGGACATTAAGCACTCAGCTTATAGCCGATAAATTTTTTGGATAAATTATTGCAGTGCAAAGTTGAGCGGGGAAAATATTTAGAAATGAGTTACACTATTTACATGTCTTCGTTGCTTCATTTCTGCAATTTTAAACTTCATCTTTTTTATAAACGAGCTTTATATTTTTTTTAGCCGTCTCGCTCAAATTCAGTCACGTGTATATATATATATATATATATATATATATATATATATATTGTTAACGTCTAGTCTTCCTCATCATTATATAAATAAAAAACTATTCTCTTTTCTAGCTTGGACTGCCCTAGCACATTCTGATATTTAGTTTTTCCTAATTTTTAAAAATGAATCAATTTTATTTAATTACGCGATTAAGTATTTAATTTTATAAATCAATTGTCTAAATAGCTTATTTAACTTCAATTTATTGTTACTTATTTAAAAAAATAATGTTTAATATTTAATATTATTTTTCTTAAATATAGAAACAGTTTATATAAGCATTTATATATACATTATTATTGAAATGTATGTCCACCGATATTCTTATATTACATGTTTAATGTAATATACATTCACAATTTTCTAAATTATTCTTAAAGTAAAATTTATTTTATTTTATGAATTCTAAATTCAATTGTCGTGACAATAGGATACATTTAATAATTTATCAATTTAGAAGCAAACAGGCATTAATTATGCTATCTCTTCCTGCTTCTCTTTTTGTCATTTTTACTGCTCGTTATTGTTCTGATTTGTTTAAATTTATCTATTGTTCTCAAAGTCTTATTAGAAAATCGGAAAACATTACCTTTATAATCTACTCGTATTCCAGCGGCGATCGTATATTTTCCATTTCCTTTGCTAACTTCCTGCTGTTTGTAAAAGTTGATCAATAATTTAATACTTCTTACTCTATATAATATTTTACCTTTTATCAACAATTCAAATATTCATTAAATTATTTTCGTCTTTGTAAAAAGCTTCTTTATTTTTAAAAATTATTTATTCGTTAATTTACTTCATTCTCTGTAAATATTAAACAATTGATAGAAATTTTCCAAATTTAATATTTATGAACATTTATAATTACATTGGGAATACACTTATTTGTATAATCATCAACATACTTATGCATATGTATAGTACCGATTTTAAAGCCTACTTTTAAAAATTTCTTCTCATAATTTAATAAATAAAATTGTTTTATATATTTACAAAAATTTCGATATAATATTTTTTATTTTTGTAAATTGAATACTAATTAAAAACAAATATTTTTTACATATGTTTCTCTATTTAAAATAAAACTTTAAAGTTATAAAGTAAAATTGATAGCTTCTGCTTTCGCACAATTTTAAAATTTATTATTAAAATTAAGTAGATTATTATATTAATAATAAATTAAAATTAAATTTGAAAATAAGTTGATGTTCTTTGAAACAAAAAGGTTTTAATTAGGATTTCTAAAAACTTTCTGGTACAACTATTATAAATAACGAAAATATCAAAAAAGATACAACGTGTTTGGGATAATATAGACCTGCGTATAAATAGAAAATCACGTGGGTTGCAGACATTCGTCTTATAAAAGAGACACCCTCTTATGAATACCTTTTAAAAATAAATTCGTGCAAGATATTATTATAAAAATAATTTTATCTAAATTCAGTATGCTGATGTTATTAAATTTAATAATAAAAAAGATTTTTATCTTTATATATTTTTAACTTTCTGGTGGGGTATTTATACTTATAATTATAATGTATCAGTGTCATTTTTATAGTATTTATAGTTTATAGTATAATAGTTTATAGATAAATCAAGTTAATTTGTCCCGAAGAAAAATTACTTGAACTGTCAAAGTATTAATATTAAAGCTTATCCATCATCTGAAGAGTCATGCTATTTAATAAATATTTTTAAGATTATTATTTAGTTGTATTAAATAAATATTTATCCATTAATTTCACTACGTATACCCGTATAATTATATACTTATTCGTTGTCTATGATATATTTGATACTACATCTTTTTTACCATTCTACTACATTTCCATATTTTTAAAATTAATCTTTATTTTCACCAAAATTTATAAATCATTTATAATAGAAAATACGTGATTTTCGCAATGAAATGATTTATAAGTAACAAAAATCGCCTGAATAGTTTGTTTTTAATTTTATTTATAGAAGTGAAATATCCTATTTTTACTCAGAATATTATCATGATTATTATATTTAATAGCGATTTTTTTCAATTTTCACCAATACTTCGTATCGTACGTCAGAAATCACATTATTATTTCTAGCTGAGGGCACAAAATGTCATTTCGCATTATTCAATATAAAGAGATATGAAAATTCGTTACTTTTAATATATGTAATAGGAATACGAATGAGATCGTTCTTAGTGTAAAATCTTAAAATATAATATAGAAATTGATCCTTTATATATATATATAAATATTTTTTAATAAATGTAAAATGCCCCACAGGAAAATGATAAGCTTATTTTGGTTAGCTTAATCTTACGCATTTAAATTATAGTCACATTTATACAATTTATACAAAATTTTACAATATCAATTACTTTAAAAACTATGAAATATGAATTAAAATCTTTAATGATTATATATGCTCAAAATATTTCGAAATATGTTACATATTTTAATTTTAATTTTTGCAAAACTTAAAGAGAATTCATTTTCAATGTTATAAAAGCTGCCATCCGATTTTTTTGCGAACAAGTACAATATAGTACATGATACAAGGTCATTTATTTTTTTGAAATTTAATTAAAACAAGTTTCAAATTGTATAATGAGAAAATATATTTTAATAATGTATATTTAATATTTTATGGAGGTTTATTTTGAAGCATTTGTTAGTGCAATATTTAAATGCACCTTAATCAAATAGTTTTGTGTTATATCGAACATTTTTGAATGTTTGAAATTTCTGAATTTTTGAAATTTTTGAATATGATTTTAATATATAAATTTTATATAAATTTTTAATATATTAATCAAACTCTGTATTTCATAACATACATATAACGATGAACTAATTGAATAGTGATGAAAATATGCATATGTATACATATAATGAATTATTTTAAATTAAGGATGAACTACTAGTAAATCTTACAATTCTTGCTGGTTTAATAACTTATAGAAGTTAGCTTTAATAATAGCTTTCTTCCAGATTGAGATTCTTGAAAATAAGGTTTAAGATAAGTAATGAAATCTATCGCAACTTGTCATTGATTCAATATCTAACCAATCTACAGAACCCCTTATCAAAATATATTTTAGTGTTATTATATAATACTTTCTTTGTATTTATATTTTTTTATTTCAAAACTTTCATTTATGTATTATTTAAAATCAGATTGTATGTATAAGATTTTATACTTTGCTATACTTAAAATACTTTATAATAATTAAAAAATCCTTATTCAAATATATAGCTGTTTGCGTTATTAAAAATAATTATATTTAAATTATATTTAAATATTACTCTGATAATAATTATAGAAAATCTAAAATTAATTAAGCACGCATTTTATAATTTTTATATATCGTGAACATATTATCTATTAAGAAAATTTATTTCTTGATGTTCTATATAATAATTTCAGATCATTTAAGTAGTGTACATAAAAATTGAACTTCATTACGAAACAAAAATAAACTTATCTAAGTTGTATATTACAAATCAGTATATTTTTCAAATTCAAAGATAAATATATTCAATTAAATAATGATATATGTAGAATAATAATAAATATATTTGTAAAAAATTTCTGCAGTTTCAAAATATCATCAAAGTCAAACCAATGTGTATTAGTAAATTAATAGTATAGTTATAATAAAGTTAGTAGAAAATTCATTTGTAAATAATCTGGGAATATGTATTTCTATAATTTACACGTATTATAATCTGCATTTAATTAAAGTTACAATACTTCAGTAAAAAAACAAGGAATCCTGTGTAAATAATTATATCAAATATATATATATATATATATATATATTATGAATTTAAAATAATGAAATTGACAAAATTGGCTTTTATAATTCTAATTTCTTTATTTCTTAAAATTAAAAGCAGAAACATTAAATATAATTCAGAAAATTATTTTTTCAATGATATTCTAATTAAAATTATTTATACATTAAATTACAGATAATTAAGTTTTAAAATTAATTTTACTTTGTAGCATTTGCATTTTTTATTAATATTCGAAAATCCAGATTATAACGGTTTTCATTATCAATATTTTGAGCCCAAGCTTTGCATTCTATATTGATTAGTTGATTGACTGTAAAATAGATATTTTCAAATTAGGAAGTAAGTGGAAAGAGATCAAACATTTAATAATAAATATTTTGCAACAAATAAAATATCTACAAATTTAAATTATTAATTTGGTATATAATGTTGAGTCTTTGAAATATCTTAACCATTTTCTATGAATTACATAAGCATGTAAACGTCTTAAAAATATATCATAAAATAATTTACAAATAAAATTATGTTGAAAAAATAATTTTTAAATAAAAAGTTTGTGAATATCGAAAGAACTAAATCATATTTTTATACAATTCCTATTAAGTAAAATGTTGAAAAACTGTGATCATCGAAAAGGTTATGATATTATAAATTGTGTATTAATATTAATTTGTGTATTAATATTAATTTGTGTATTAATATGTAAATTTATACATAATCAACAGTATTCATTTTGGTTATATTTGAAATGATGGCTTAATATAATTTATAAATTAAATAAATTAAATAATAAATTCTTTTTTAATTACTATTAGTGTTTTAAAAAAACACTATAAAATCAAATTTAAAAATATTTAAATCATTGAAAAATAATAAAAATTTCACGAGGTGTTGCATATTTTTAAAAATCATATCCGAACGATAATGACGGATACCAAATTGCAAATATACATTATTAAGCAATTTAAATAAATATAATAGATTTTATTATTTAATCCAATAGTTGAATTAAATGATGTATTTATTTTAAAAGAAAATAGGCATATACTTATACATCCAAACTCTTATGTCTACGAAGAAATAAATAAGAAATAACCTGTTAAATTTTTAAACTGCAGTGCTACAATCGGTGTATGATAATCAATCTGTCCGAAGAATGGAAAATATTGGATAGGGAATCCAGGACTTGGCAGATAATCGATTTCTCCCATTAACACAGTATCATTGTTGCTCACTCCCTCGCATGACAGCCATACATAGAACTATATGTACGTAAGTGCGATGTAATCAATGAGAATATATGTGACAAAGTTTTTGTGAATTATTACAGATTGCAATGTCCTAAGAATCCCACCAGTAATTGTTTATTATTTTATTCAATTCATCGAGAAATAGTAATGGTGACAATTGACATAGTGCAAATCTGCATAAAAAATGTATAGCATATTATTACATTGCAATTACGTGTTAAATAATATTGCAACAAACACGTTTAAAAACTAATGCATCTAATAAATCAACAAAATTAAATGAATCTTGTCTAAACATGCTAATAAAATGCATAATAACTGGTTTTAAAAGTTAATTTTTTAAAAATAACCAAATTTCATTTTACCTTGGTCACCAAAATTTTTTCAAATCTATATTACCGCGGAAATGAAAGTCTATGCATTTGTAAAATGAAATATGCAATTGCAAATTTTGTTATATTATTTTTAAAAGCAAAACTAATTGAATAATAAATTTGTGATAATATTAATTTGGTATCAGAAAATGTAAAACAAGATACTATAAATAAGAACATCAAATACATTTTCTTTATTTCATAACAAAATTGATTAGAAAATTTTTTTATTTTTAACTGTTTGATAATATTCAATTTGTAATTTCATTTCTTTTTAATTATTTTCTTTATTTTACCACGTAATAATCTATCTGCAGAAGAGAATGTTAGAACATAATAATGTAATTATTATAAAAAAACTTTGACAATAATAAAATATAATCTGTCATAATTAACTACAAATGACTATATACAGACAACTTTAATAATTTTTTAATGTAGATGATATAAATAAACATTTGGTTAAATCTGCATATATGTCATTTCTGTGTGATTGTACTAAGATATTAAATAGATTGTTATAGAAAGATAATCAATATTATATACTATGTATAAATATATAATGCACACTACATTTCTATTTCATATTTAATATAATATGTTAAATATTCAACGTAAAGGAACTTGCTTAAATTGTAAAAGATTATATGTAAATATAATTCACGACGAAGGCCAAGATAATTATATGTTTTATTTATACCAAATCATATAACTATCATATACATATAGCATACGTATATTAAATAATACATTTGCATTAATATTATGGTTTTGCTGCATTTAAGTTATAATTTCGTAAATAGTTAGTTAAGAGTATGTGATTAATTTTATAAAAAATACTTATATTAACATTATATTTAATCGGATACAATTAATTTATAAATTGATTTAATATTAATTTTATAATAATAATGATGTAATATAAAATTTAAGATAAATCTGTTAATAAAAAGTTAGATCGATTATTATTGTTATTTGTTAATTGGCATATTTTAGCTCTTATAATGTATTAATGTTTCAAGGAAAATTATTAATTTTATAAATTTATAATTAATAGAAGTAATGAACATCTGATTATTCAATGTATGTACATAAATATAAATATAAACATGTGGGAGAGGGCAGGTGAAATAGACGTAGTATCGAAAAACCTTTCATATTTGGATATTCACTGACAGATGTTGAAGATCTTTGTTATATAGGAGAAATTAGAAAAGAGAATAAAGACAGAAGATTGAGAGACTGACAGACTACAAAGAGAGATAAAGAGACACAGGGAGAGGATTATAATATCAATGGACTAGGCAAGTATTCCACCCTATAAGTAAGAAAATAAAAGAAGTAGAGGGTTGTTTATCCATGACCTACTTCGACCCAAAATCTATATCTACAATAAGCGTTGGCGTAGACTTGTACATCTTTACATTATATATCATACATGTAAATAATTACGTAGAAATCCGTAAAATAAGAGAATAATATTTTAACATCATTAGAGCATTATTAAAAAATAAAAATCAGTATCTTCAATACTAATATTTTTCATATTTTAATTAAGTGAATAAAAAAATATTTGTTGTAACTACTGAAGGAGTTTTATCAAAAAAAAAAAAAAAAAAAAAAAATTATTGTTATAGTTATATTTAATTTTAAAAAAGCAACATTTTGAAAACAGTAATTATTTGGGATTAAATTTTTATAAAAATAAATCTTTTTTCACTTTATGGTCATCCTGTGTTAATTTAATCATTAATATATCTTATGCATTATTTTTTCTAAGATAGAATATTCATGGTAAGACTACTTAAAACTCCTTTAAAAATACTTAGTTGTAAAAAGCCATAGAAAATTCCAAAAATAATTTACTTTGTCAGATTTCTGAATGGTTTTTTGCAACCATTGTGGCATTGTTTTCGGCAAATAGAAAGCTTGATTATAGAAGATAGGCATCCATCCAAATCTCTATCAAACGAAAATGTTATTATTTTAAATTTCAATAAAAACAAAAAAAACAAATAGACTTGATGCATATGTATAAATAAACCTTGTTGAACCTAATATAAACACAAGGTTGAGGTGGCCAAGTATACCCATATGGTGCTTTTGAACATTGGCCTAATGTTTGAATATCAAAGTAGCAGGCTTTATTCATATTTTGATTACGTAATGAATTGTTGCAGATAATGTCGAATTTGGATTGATCGACATTATACTCTAGTAATATAATATAAATGGTATACAAACTTTTTAATATTAATTCTTTTAAGAAAATGTGTTACCTGATAACATTTTCTTTACAGCCGTTACATATTTTTTTACTTTGTTCATTTTGTGAGATTCGTCAATTAAAATCAAAGGAGGTTTCGAATTTGGTATAATATTTGGTTTTAAAACAATTCCTATTTTGTAAACCATTAATTAAAATAATTTTATTATATATATTGGTATACAAGTATATACCTGCACATGCGCAGATACAATTTTAATGATTATACAAATATTAAAGGTGATGTCATTTATCTACATCATTATTTTGAAATACTTTTTGGAATTGACATTATATAAGCGAAAATAAATAATTAAAATAATTATTAATTATTTTAATTTATCAAAAAATGAAATGTTAAAGAAATAGTTACAATACCAATTAAAAAAATAGTTATGTTGAATAAAAGCTGTTTAAATTTGATTTTTATTTATCGTTTTAAGAGTATATCAATATTTGTTTTCTGATTTATGAGAAAAAATGTATATACATTTTTGTAAAGATAATATTGATTATAATAAATTTCTTTTACTTATTAAAAAATTTATAATTTTGAAAATAAAATGATTAGATAATTACACAATAGTTTTTATAACTTTTGTAGTCCTATGAACATCGTGATATGTGAAATTATATATTTTTTAAACTAAAAATGTTTTTGAAATAATATAGAGACTGTAGATATTATACCGTGATTATTAATACTAATTACATTAGTTGAAAATTTATTATTTAAGATCTAAGGAAAAATATGGATTTTAAAATAATATTTAAAAATAAAATAGTATTTTCTTTCAATAGTGATTATAGTGTAAAATCCTTTATAATCAATATCATCACTTAAACTTAACGTAAATAATAATTGATAGATTGGAATACGTAAAACCTGGTCCATGACTATTCAATGATGACATTTCAAACATTGATTTTCGATTCGGCTCCAACCAAGTTCTTGGGGATATTTTGCTATACTCATAGAATGGTTTATCAAAAGAGGATACATACATGTAAGTAATCCACAATTGTAAAGAAGTAAGTAAAATGAGTCCACCAAAAAAAAACATGTAAAACACACACACTTGAGCTGCGAATGTGATAAAAAGTATTTATATACTTTATAGCTTTTATCGAATATTTTAAAGTATTCACATTTATCAGAGAAAAACTTCTGAAATTTAAAATTTTATAAATTTTACAATCTATCGTAGGAGAACCATTTTAATTTTCATACGGTTTTTAATAAACGAAAAATATAATTAAAAGTATTTTGTTTGAAATATTGATCGATTTCTTTTTAATATTCAACAATGATTAATTACTTCATGCAATTAATTTATGATTGCATTTTATTTTCTTGGCTAAAGTAAGTAAATTAAAATTTCGCACTTACCCCATTCTTCTTTATTTCTACCAAGTAAAGATTTTTTTTCAGGATTCCAGAGAAATCGTTGAAAGTTTTTAAATACACCCAAATTTGGCACGGGCTTTCTTTCATTGTAATACATTTCATCGTGTTTGATCATTTTTTATTAAATTAAATTATTTAACTTAACCTATATAATAAATAATGTATTATAAATAAAAAATTGCAATCAAAAAGTGTTTGTTCAACTACCTTCAGATGGTAAACATACATTCAAATATACAAAATACACAAGTAATAAACAATTGAGATCAAATTTTATATAAAGTAAACAGTTTTTTGTGCTTGAGATGAACTTTATTCGTGGAACACTTATAATATTTTGAAATTTATGCAGTAGCTTATTATGATTATAATAAAAGTTTGGAAATACATAGATCGTAATATAACTTTTAGAAATAAAGGTCTTGGTAATATTCCTGTTCAAGTAATGAATAATTATGATAAAATATGCACGTTTGAATTAACGATAATATCATACGTCGATTGGTAACTTTTAAAGGTTGAATTTTTTCTCGCTAGATACCGCCACTTACGCATTACGTAGTTCTGTAATAATTAATTTTTACATAATTTGCATTAATAATAGTATTGAAAATAAATTTCATTTCCATATACTGTTTAGAAATTTAATAACAAATAATATAAAAATACTTATAATTGGTACATATATATCTTGCAGAATAAAAAAAATTTAATCATATTTTGCCGTAGAAAAAAATTAATTGCAATTTTAGTAAAAAATGAATGATACCAATTAGCAGAAGAATCTTTGTAAATATTAATAACGTACTATTATACAATTTATTTAAGAAGAAACAATTATATATAAAATCATATTTTGTCTCGGAATGTAATACAATAAATAATATTTATTCCGTTTTAGAATACTATACAATTATCTGAAATTATTCCAAGTGTTAATTCTATTCAAGCTCTACACAATCTCCTCGTTAATTGTTTATATATTTCTTAAAGAATTTATTCTCAATAATTAATATTCGGATATATGTTTAAACAAAGCAAATGTTTTTTATATAATAGTAATCATCGCTACACTTGCTTTTATTTATCGAATTATAGTAAAAATTCATAAACCAGATAGCCAAGCAACATAACCTCAACATTTTACTTCAAACAAGAATTTTGCCTAAATATAATAAACTGGACAAACGATTATTACTAATATTTTTATCTGAAGAAACAGTTCATAGTTTATAATAGTGTATAGGACAGAAATGTAAAGACAAACTCGATGGAGCGGCTGCCGCGAGCTTGGCGCGATTCTCATAACGCATGCGCCACAATGAATTTCACCTCTAAAAAAGTCATAACTTCGTAGCCTGTTTAGTCCTACCTAGCCGTTCACCACCATTGTTTGCAATTCCCGCGCTCCGAATATCCATTACGCCGAGAGTCGCAATTCTCGCACTCATTCATTATGTATATGTAACTGTCTACCGACATATTTCCCCCTTTAATTTACACATGCGCGCAACGCCTACGCGCGCAATGAGCCCGCAAGAAGATTCCCAAGCTTGCGAGCAGCGTTTACGCACCGTGATGATAGGCGGTAATCTTTTTTATGGATGAACCGCAGAAATAAGACAGTAGCGTAGTTATAAATTGCAATGCCCTGCTTAAATCTAATTTTGACTTATTCAGTGTATTTGCTTTAAAGTATTTAAATGTCGATTATAGCATTTGCTTTTCGTTATACATTCATTATTTTAAAATGGATACTCATTGTATGTGGTTATTCATTGTAATTAGTTAAATAATTATTTAGAGAATTAACGTTTTCTCTCCCTATATCTCTTTCTCTCTCTCTCTCTCTCTCTCTCTCTATCTATCTATCTATCTATCTATCTATCTATCTATCTATCTATCTATCTCTATCTATATCTATATCTATCTCTCTATATCTCTCTCTCTATCTATCTATCTATTTATCTCTATCTCTATCTATCTATTTATCTCTATCTCTCTCTTTCTGTTTTAATATTAAACGAGGAAGAAACGAAGTTGAAAACGAGTATGAATATTAGATTAACGGATTTATTCATACTAAAATGAACTAACAGCTTTATTATTGTATTATTCTAATCTTATTTTATATTATCTATATTTAACAATTATTTTACGCAACAAGTAAACTTTAAGAGATTAAAGTTGTATAAGTATGAATGTTATTCAGTTCAATATTTTTTTTTGATAAAACTCTTTTAAAAACTGCAAATTTTTTTAAAGATAAAAACAGAAATATAACATTTTTATATAAATATGAGTTTTTCAATTTATTTAAGCATTAATATGTATGGAATATTAGAGTTTAAATATACTTTCGTTTATATGCATGTAAGCTTGCATATGTGCTAGGGAAATAATGCAAAAGCTATATAAGATAAGCGAAAATCAACTATATAATCTTAAGTTGTAATACATCAGAAAAGAAAAGTTTTAATAAGAAAAGTTCTTATACCAATAATAGAAAGCTCTTATATAAAATTTTTTAACATACAAACATTAGTTATGCTTTTTTCCATTCTCTATTAAATTACACTATTAAGTCATTGAATTTTATTTACTTTTAATACACAGATTTTATAAATTAACTGAACTTTTTTTTTGAAAATAACTATCCTGAATTTTTATCTATACATTCATCATACGATTCTGGAACTATTTAATATGAGAATATGCATAATTTCAGACTAAATGTTTAATTAATATTTACGATTTAATAAAGATTTAATTAAAGATTTAATAAAAATGTCTCTGGAATATATATTTCCACTTCGTTCAAACTATATTTAAACTATATTTCTTAAAATTATGCTTTCCTTGTGGCTTATATAATACTGTATACATTATTTACAAATATCAAACCATTCAATATTCCCTCTCAAATATGAATCCATCGAATATTTCTAATTGATATATTTTATACTAAAATTAAACCAGTTAGCTTTTCCAGTAATTCATTTACAATCCACTTACTCTAACAAATATTTTTTATAATATACATTACATTGTATTCAATTAATTACATTTCAATTTTAAAATATAAGTAGATCAAATACGAATATTTTAATTAAGATCGACAAGAAAAAATAAACAAAAATACGTGCACCAATATGTAATACAATACATATGTAACTCTAATCTTCATATTACAATAATTTATTTCTTTTAGTATCAATTAATAACAGCCTAGTTATGATATGCTTAAAAGTTATTAAAGAAATAATCATGTGGAAATGTCTTTCGTTATATAAATATGATTATTGAACTATTCTGCGAAATTCTATTTTATAAAAATACCATCATGCCATAAAAATTAAGATTTCAAGTTGTCATTCTTTTACTTACACAATAGTACAATTTATAATTGTGATCATTTATGTGAATCAATATCTTGGAATTTATTTAGAAAATTTATAATTTGAAAGATAATTTTAAGTTTACTAATTGCATTCTTTGGTTTGAATTTATATCGATATATATATATATATATTTACTATTTTCAATTAAAATTTTTACAAATATTAAATTTATTTACATTTTTTATTTGAAATTATTCAATTTTAAAATGATATAATAATATAATAATAACGAGAACAATAACAATAATAATAATAATAATAATAATAATAATAATAATAACTATTATTTAAGTAGGGTGAAAACGAAAAATAATTTTTTTTTTTTAATAATTTAACGATTTGATAAATTATTGAATTATTAACATTGACATTTTTATTATTATCCTTAGTATTTATAAGTTTATTGAATAGTTGCATTACCTTATCTTAAAATGAGTATTACTCTTTCTTAAAATAAAAATTCAATTAAGGTACTTGCTTATACTTATAAATCTGTACCTCTTATAAATCTAATCGAACAATATCTTTTAGTTTGCTGTATGAATTTAAAGATCTTGTACTTTCCGGTTTTACACTAAAACTGTATGTACTTTATTGTATTCTATCCGCGTGTATTATCTATTGTAATATACGTGATTTTATGATCTATATAACACACAATGAAATATAGAGTATCATTATCTCGTTATTACATAATTATTTATACAAGCGTCTTTATTTATCTTTTTTTAGTTCAAATATTTTTCTAGCATTTGTTTCAAGCATTGTCACATTTATTCAGGATATGAATAGTATTGTTAAAAATGTTATATTTCCTATTATGAGATTATAAATAAAATTTCACTCGTTTTACAAAATAAATGTCTGTATCTCTTAAAAACATAATATGTTTAAATATTGGTACGTATTTCTGATTTTAATTTATTATTGTACTAATAAATTTAAATGTATCTACTTCAATAAAGGTTATACCGATAATTCTTATACGTTTATTTTGATGTTCTGATGTAGACCGTTAAATTGTAGTTATAAATAATAATTTAAAAGTTATATTTCTTAAAAATGAATCCAAGAACTTTTTAGAAAGTCAAGTCATCTAAGAATTTTTTACCCCAGTATTTTATTTAAATCCATTATCTATTGTGAAATCTTCTAATAAATTATTTTTTTCATCTTTATTAATGTAATAAAAATTTGAATAATTAATGTAGCGAATTTTTAGTCATATTGAAACATTATGCTTCTGAGTTAATAGTAAAATCATTTTCAATTTGTAAACAATCGACCTAATTCGTAAAATTTTCATTTTGCCATAGTAGTGATTTAAATGTAAAAACTTTTTGTATTGATTGATTATATTTAAATTTGTATTGAGAATATATTTAATATTTTCCACATCGAACGTAACTTTTGCATAATAAAGAATCTGTAGAATTTTTCAAAATATATTTAAAAATTTATACGTAATACTAATGAAGTAAATATTGAATAAATAATATAATTATAAACAATTAGAAAAATAAATAAATAAACTTTTTATTCTATTTTTAATATATTTCTACTAATTAAGATATTCAACAGTAGTTCTCACTAATTATATATCGAACGAAAATTAATTTATTAAAATTATACGATCATCAGTTTTATTACAAACTATTTCCATAGATATTGCATTTAAGAATACATCTATAGTATCGATACATTTTATATTCATATTAAAT